CACACACACACACACACACACACTTAAAAGGTTCATTTCTATAATAATTTCTCAAGATAAAGCTATTTCTCTGTTCATGTGTGAAAGCTGGCATCATCTGGCAAGGAGGTCATTATCTCTTCCCGATTAAAAAAATTCAAGGACAATTTCAGAGATGGCATGAAACACAGTGTAAGATAAGCACCAAGTAAAGCACCACAACTATAGACTCCTTCTTGACACTAAGCTTCCTCTACTCCCACTAACTGATAGGCAATGAAAACCAAACAGAGGGTGTGGACACAAGAATGACTTACTGGAGAGTAAAAGTGAGCAGGGTTTCATTGCCTGTCAGCTGGTCCTCAGGAACTGCCCATGTACATTTTTAGCCAGTGGTGAGTGGAAGCTACATTATGGTAACTTAACTGTCTTCCACTTGGGAGAAACATACTTAAGGGTCAGAGGAAGATAGGGGGTAAGCGCCTTTCACTTCTACCTTCTTATTCTTTCCTGTTAGTTGTTATGCTTGCTGCATTCTTCTTCACATAAGCACATATTTTAATATGGCAGAAATCACTGCCTAAAGCCATGTCTCATGGCTGTTAGCACATGCTAAACCTGCACTGTAGCATCTTTACTGCTCTTGTTGCCAGGGCTAACCAGCGTGAGCTAGCACATTATTACTCTTACCCACTTTCCCCTTTACCATTTCTGCCAGGCACCAGTCCTGCCAGGAGTAATGTGAGTGTTTAAGCCTTGGAGTAGTGCCAACAGAGTGAAGCCAACAATGTGATACTGCTTCCTCGGTCCTTGCTTGCATGGACAATATTGTCCTTACAAATATAAAAAATTCTGGTCTGATTTCTCTCTTGCATACTAAGGTATAAATCAGCGGTGACACTATTGACCACAATGTAGTAAAAACAAGATCAGAACAAAACACATGAAGTATTCATGTGAATTTTGCAGAGAGATATATATAATATTCACCTATATGCTACCTACTGGTCTATACACAAATCTCTATCTCTCTCTATACTTGTTGAGAGTCGTTTTCTCATTCCAGATGACCAGATCCTGATTCATACTGAAAAGTCTTTGGGGGCAGAGACTGTGTACAAAAATATCTGGCTCCAGTGAAGTCAACTGCAAGACTCCCACTGACCTGGGCAGAACCAGGATTTCCCCCCGCATATTTCAGCTCTAAAGCTCTGGTGCTCTTCCTCTCAGCTATCGCATCTTTATGTTAGATTTGATTCTCTATTAAAGGCATTCAAATGTCTTGTCACAGGCCAAAGAGAGAAAAATAAATACACGGTGCCCAGTAAGAGCAGTAAGAGCCTCTGGACTGTGCCATACTCACCCCAGGCCTTTTCCACACAAAGGGGATTGATGGCCTCTCACTGAAGAAAAGAGAGGAGTCAGTGGCTGGGAAGTCACAGTCCTCAAACAGGATTCCCTCCTGCTGGCACTTGCGCTTCAGCTCCTCATATGTCTTGCCAGAGGAGTGTGTGGCCCGTGCAGTCTGGGGCAGCGGGGGAGCCTGGGGTCTTGAGTCCTGGTAGATGTAAGGCATAGCTCTGCCCTCCTGCAGCAGAGAAGGCTTCAGTGATCCCAGAGACCTGGGGGGAAGGTAAGAAGAGACCAAGGAAAGATGAAGAGCGTGAAGAGAATTTCAGCACCCTCCAATAATAGAAGGGAAAAGAGGAATGAGGTGCTCACCGCAGACAAGAAAGACAGGAGTGTGTGTGCTCCCAGGGAAGTAAAAATGGCCTGAGCCCTTCTCCTTTTGCACCTGTATGAATGGCAAGGAGACTTCCCTTTCTGCCTGAAATAACAATAGAAGGGAACGCCTCGAGAGCAAACAAAAAAGCAAACTTGTTTGACCTCCTCAGATATTCCTGCTGCTCGGTGTGTTCCCTCAGGTATGTAACCCTGGGAGCCACACTGAGGAGCAGAAAGATACCTTTCATTTCATTTCATTCATGTTGTGTAAGCTCTACCTAGGAAGAGAGAAAGAATACCTGCACACCCCCCTCCATGGCACTGGCCAAGCCCTTCACAGTACGAGGAGGGTGGAAGCATTTTCTTTGCTGGCTGGATGAATTTGAGAAATGTCACCATGCGTGAAATCCTCTCGTGTCTCCTGGTCCAAAGCCACCAGATGTAAAAGCTGAGTCTTATTATGAGATATCATAAACCTAGAATCCTTTCATCATAGCTTTTCCAGGCCAAAAGGGCACCAAAGATGACTGCTACAAGCCAGCTGGCACTCTTGCTTATAAAAGGAGGGGGAGGACCTTTCTGCAAGAATGCTAGGTTAGATTACTAGGCTCCAGAGCCTTTTTACTGAGAAAGTATAGCAGGGCCCTCCCTCCTGCCATCTACTTCCATGGGGAAGACCCAGGAAGAAACCTGACCATGGGCCTGAAAATGTCTCATGAAAAGTGGATGCAAAGTTAAGCTGAAGGAGACTGGATCATTAGCAGGTATGGAGGACTAGCAGGAGAACTAGCCTGGGGAGTAAAGTGGAGTGGAGACAGCATGGTTAGATGGCGAAGGGTCTATGGTGTGGGAGGCTGTGGGGTGGGAAGGCCATGCATTGGACAGAGACAGAAGATTTGGTGTGGGTGAGGGGAGACTTTATCTGCAAAGGGATTTTGGTGGGTTGTGTGGAGGGAGGTTTCTTTACATATTGTAGAATAGATTGTGGCATAAGATGTTTATGTAATAGCTACCTAACCACACGGTCCTATTTTGGGGGCTTTTGTCTGCCTGTACTTCTGTTTCTTCAGCTATTGTTTGCAGCTTTCACCTGTCACATCACATCTACTATTAGACTGTGAAAGCTTTGTGATGGGGAGGGTGTTAGTCAGCACACTGTGGGAGCTCTGAAGAACAATAATTAGCAGTGTTTCAAACTCTGCTTTGGGATGGACTTCCTTCTGTGCCTACAAAGGTAGAAGATGCATGCTGCTTCATAAAAAATATGGCTCACGTAATACAAAACATGAGCTTAAAATACAAATGGTACTAACTGTTCTTCTCGTTTCATTGGCCCTTTGACAGGTCAGTCAATTTCAATCAATGCGACTTGGAATTAATTCCTTTCTGTTCTGTTATTTTTCAGGATAGTGTTGGAGAAAGCGCCTTCCATTTCATGCTCACCTCATTTCATTGCATCATTGTCGTTAGTGCCTGGAGGCCCCAAATGAGATCAGTGCCCCACTGTCCTAAGCATTGAACACATGCATTGTAAGTCTCTGTCTCAGCCATTCTCCTCAGGAGCCAGCAGTCTGAGTAGACAAGACAGAAAAAGGGTGTGAAGGAAAAGAGAGGCACAGAAAAGGGCAGTGATTTTCCTAAGGTCACGTGTTAGGTTGGTGGCAGAATTAAGAATGGTACCATTGTTGCTTGACACCAGTCAGTGTCCTGTTCATTAAACCAAACTGCATTGTGCAGACCAAGCTTTTCCTCATACATTTGGTGAAAACTTAAGCAGGGGAGATATGTTTCTTTACCATAAAGACAAATTCTAGTGACCTTTTCTTTAAAAAAATTGTAACTGTGCGCTTTGATGGACGGACTTGAAATTTGTCAGAAAAGGGGACTTTTTGTCTCAGAGGTTCTGTGTGCTGACCCTGTAAAACACATGCTCAGATACGGTGAAGTTATAACTCTGAAAAAACGGTTTGGACACATTCAGGAGAGACATTTTTTAAAATTTATCAGCTAAATTTTCCAAAGATTCCACCTGCCCCAGGCTGTGTGTCAGCCTGTGGCTCAGAGCGACTATCTGAGAAACTGCAGCTCTAGTCTGTGTAGGCCATGCTGCAATCCAGGTCAAGGCCACTGAACCAAGGGCAGTGAGTTTTTTTTCCTCTTCTACTTTAAGGCTAGGTACAGACATTCAAAAAGCCTGAGGTGGA